CAGGGAGCCTGATGTGGGGCTCGATCCCAGGACCCTGGGATCATGACCTGAGCCGAAGGCAGACGCTTAATGACTGAGCCACCCAGGCGCCCCTCTCAACTGATTTTAAACTTTTTAAAAAACCCTGTGTTGCCCAAAAGAGTGTTAATTGCTTATTAGCCTCTACTGTTTTTTTTCTTGGAAAGTAATTTAGAAAATACATTACTTTAAAAAAATGCATTACTGAGGCATCTGGGCAGCTCAGTCAGTTAAGCATCTTCTGTGGCTCAGGTCATGATCCCAGGGTTCTGCATTAGGTGCCCTGCTCAGTGGGGAACCTGCTTCTACCTCTCCCTCTCCCCACTCCTTGTGTGCGCGCTCTCTCTCTCAAATAAATACAATCTTTTAAAAAAATGCATTACTGTCTTTAAAAAAATAAAAAAATATAAAATAAAAAAATGCATTACTTTGGGATATTATTCTATTTTATTTAAGGCAAACTTATCCTAGAGTAGCAGTCCTTGTATGATCAAAACCAATAATGAATTAATGGTATAATATAACTTGTTGCCATATAGCTTATTGCTGTAGATACATGAGTTGTCCAATCTCATATTTCTGGGTGCCAATCAGAAATAGATTGGTTTACATTTTACTTTTCTCCTACAGAAATGTGGTAGTGGCGGGGAGATAGGAACCCAGACGTCTTTGAGTGGCATTAGCAGCATAAAACTAGAATTCTTAAGTGGGCATTAGATGGTGAAGCACCCAAAATTCCAAAATTTTGTACATTTTCTTAGAAAAAGATCCAGAGCTTTGTTATATTTCTGAAAGGGCTTTGGCCTTCAAAATATTGAGAGCCACTGAATTGAGGGAAAAAATGTGCTTTTTTAGTTAAATTGATAGGGGAAATGCATCATGCATGTGCATGTGTGTGTCTCGTGTGTGAATGTCCAATGAGATCATAGGATACTCTAGGAAACTGTGAATTTCCTGACACTATGTTTACAGAAAACCTATTCTTGGCAGAGGATGCTATACTGGATTACCTCCAAAGATTTCTTTATGTTCTCTGATTCTGAACTTTAAAAGGATTTAGAATCACTGATAATTGATTTTTTTTTCCTTTATAGAATTTGCCATCTGCTGTAGTAACTCACGTTCTGGATCCTCAACCTGGAGAGAAGATTCTAGATTTGTGTGCAGCACCTGGAGGCAAAACAACACACATTGCAGCATTAATGCATGATCAGGTGAGACTGTCTTCACAGCAAAAACTGCTCACAACATGTTGAAGGTGGAACTACACATAACTTATGAAACATGTAGACATTCATAATCTGAATGATTTCAGATTCAGCCAAAGTAAAGACTGTTCAGTGATGGCATTCATCACGTGTTGAGTTCAGGTTATCATTTGTGAAGACTATCTGAAGATCTTGAATCCCAGATTTACTAGTACATTTGTAGAGTAGAAGTCTTCATAAAATTACGTTTAACTGCAACATTTAAGAGATTTTTTTATGTTCTTAATTATAAGACTTGACACTTTCTAAACTACTAAATTCTGCCGCTAAAACTTGATTTGACAGCACATTACTGAAGTATCAATATATACACTGATATATATATACGTACATTATGATATGTACACATCAAATACATTTTCTTGAGATCCATAAAAACCTTATGATCTGGCTTAATTATAGAGCCTGTTGCATTGTTATAAAATATAGTAAGTCTTAAATAACTTTATTTCAGATTTTACTGCTTTTTCCCCACATATATGTAAATGACAATATGTTTTCTTTCATAATGGGTTAGTCTGTGTTCAAAACTCAGTGTGACCTTGTAACTGTTCTGTGCTGGACCTAAGATTCTTCAGCTCAAGAAGGATAGGGCCAGTTGATGCTTTCTTCTTGTTTCAAATTCCATAAAATTACATGGTTCCTGAAATGCTTAGACACACTAGTATCTTCACCTACTTTGATCTGGAGGCAGATTTTAATTGATTGGTTGGTTGATTAAACAGACAGTACTTACATATGCCAAGTACTGGGGAGGCAGCAACAAACCACTGGGACCAAAATTGTCTTTATTGTGTAGCTTCCCTTCTAGTTAAGAGGAGACAGATAATAAATTAAATGAATACAAGTTATGGCATGTAGGATTGTGGTAAGGGCGGTGGTGAGCAAGAGAGGAAGGGGAGGGGCATCGGGAGTATTGAGGGGAGTGAGTATGCAGTTTTTAGGAGGGTAGTGAGAAATGCACCCTGTAAAGGTGGTTTTTGAGGAAAGACTTGGAGGTGATGAGCAATATGGAGGTCTGTGGAATGCATATTTTAGCTAGAGAAAAAGCAAGTGTGGGTGGTCTGAGGCTGGAGGGCATCTGATCTGTGTGAGGAATCTCTGCAGTTTGCTGAGAGAAACGAAGTGAGGAGGAAAAGAGACCAGAGAGAGGGAGGTCCCAGGGGTGGATGTTTGGGTCGAGCTGTTGGCAGGGTCTGACAGGACATTAGTTATGCTCGAGTGATGGGAAGTCACAGAAGAGTGACATAAGCCTCTTTACTATTTCAAGTATCCTTTTGGCTGTTGCCTTGAAAACAGGCTGGAAGAGGGCAAGGGTGACTGGTTTGGAGACAGTTATTCAGGGAAGCATCGTGGAGGTGGCAAGAAGTTCTGGAGATGTGTTTAAGGTGGAGTTGTAAGGAGTTGCTGATGCACTGGATGTGGGCTATGGAAATGTGAGGGTAATCAAGATTTTGGGTGACGGTGACTATGGGAGGAGCAAGTTCTGCAGGGAAAAGTCAGAAAGTTGGTTTTGGAGATATTAAACTGAAATGTCTATTAGACTTGCAAGGGATGATGTTGAGCAGGCAATTAGATATTTGAGCCTGGAGTTCAGGACAGAGGTATCGACTGGAAATAAAAATATAGATTGGAAATGTAAATACATATAAAATAGAAATTTGCAAGTCATCAGCATATAGATAATACATAAAGCCATAAAACTGATGTGGGTGGCAATAGAGAGTAGAAGAGGCCAGAAGACTGAGCCGCACGGGTACTGTGTGCCAACATTCAGAGGTTGGGGAAAGGAGAAGGAATGGCCAATGATGTCAGAGGAAAACCAGAGGAGTAGTAGGACACCCTGGAAACAATGTGAAGAAAGGGATTGAAAGACAGTGGAGAGATAGCTGTGTCAGATGTTGCTGCTGGGCCACATAAAGTGAGGACTGAGAACTTCCAGTGGACCTAGCACCAGGTCAGTGATGGGCAACCTTATCATGAGCAGTTTTGGTGAGTGGAAATGCTTGCTTGGATTGAGAATGAGGGGAATCCAAGAAAGTGAATCAAGAGCACTCCTTTGGTGGTGGTGGTGGGGAGTTATTTGTACAGGAATACAGTGAAATGGGGCAGTAGTTGGAGGTGAACTCAGGGAGTACTTTATTTTAAGATGAGAGAAATGATCATGGTTGTATGCTAATGAGAGATCCATTAAAAGGGGAAATTGCTAGCAGTATCTTTGAGGAGGTGAGATGGGATACATTTTGATGCACAAGTGGCTTTAGATGGTAGCATACAACAGTTTATCCATGGAAATCGGAGGGTCGGCGGAGTACACGGGTGCAGATATTGGTGGGCCGGTCAATGTGGTAAGAGACAGGAAGGTCTCTTTTGGTTGTTTGAGTTTTCTCAGTGAAATATGAAGCAAAGTCATCAGATGAGAATGGGGATGGGGAAGGAGGTGGTAAGAGCTAGGAGATATGAAATGTTAATCTAGGAAAATGGAAGTGAGAATGGGCTATGGACACATCCTAGCAATTCCAGTTTGCACTATGGGCTCCGTGAATACAATGGTCATGAATGTAAGATTTGTTGGGATAGTGATGGGCTTTTTTTAGCTGCCTGGATGTAGATGTGAAGTTGGTGAAGAATTGGATTTAACCACAGCAGCATTTTTGTCATGCTTATATCTAAGACACAGAAGCATGTGTATAAGAGAGTAATGTGATACAACATGGAATCTAAACTGGGTAAAGAGCATAGCAAGGACAGTAAAAGACTGAGGGCAGTAGATCCATTCATATTTTTCTAAGTTAGCTCAGATTTATACAGTGGTAGGAATTCTTAGGCACCTAGGAAACTCTTTGGCAGTTTTTTTTCATGGTACTCATTTATAAATAAGGAAAATTTGCCTACCTGAAGTGTAAGACTTTCTGGTATAGAAATATACTTCTGTGAGGCTTAGCAGAGCCCTTCTGCTCTGATTCACTTGATAGAAGATGTAGTATCTGTGTGCCCACTCCCCAAAGTGCCAGATGTTGGACTTTACCAGATGATCATTTTTGATCTATATTTAAGTGATTAAGTCAAGTGATTTACAAGCAGTCTTGCACAGAAAATATAGGAACGTTTACTGTGTCAAGATGAAATTGTAACTTTTTCCTTTCATTAGTGCAAATCATTTTATCCAAAGACTTCTGATAAAAATTCACATTATTGGGGCACCTGGGTGACTCGGGTGGTTAAGCGACTGCCTTCGGCTCAGGTCATGATCCTGGAGTCCCGGGATCGAGTTCCGCATCGGGCCCCCTGCTCAGCAGGGAGTCTGCTTCTCCCTCTGACTCTCACCCCTCTCATTCTCTCTGTCATTCTCTCTCCCTCAAATTTAAAAAAAAATTTAAAAATTCACGTTACTTGCATATTAGTATTTGATACTATTACAATTTCTGAAACATTCACTATGTCACAAGCAGGGAGATAACGCACACATACATACATATATATGTAAATAAATAAGTAAATTTATATTTTCAATAAATATATGGGAGGGTTAAAACCTATCTCTGCACTGTATGTAAATCTACATACACTATATATAGGCACTGTATATATGTTCTGTGTGTATATATATGCACTCTATATATGTGCCCTACATACACACACACACACACACACACACACACACACACGTATAACCTCAGTGAGTGACCTTAAAGTAACGAAGGAAGTAATGAAGGAAGGAAAAGATATTTGTTGTTTAAAGTTTTGGGGTATTAATACTCTTGGTTCATTAGAGGAGATGTACTTTCCTGTTTATTTATACTCTTCTTTGTCCCAAAGGAATTGAAGGTGGTAACAGTAAAAACCTTAAGGAAAAATGCATTAAATACCACCAGTGCATAAAACACAGAACATGAAATAGAGGATTCATTTTATGGAGGAGGATTCATTTAGTCATTAAACTGAATCAGTTTTTAGTTTACCTGAAATCCTTAACTGTAAAGATGATGATATGCTTTGAAGAAGTGATAACAATCTGCCCTTAATTTATGGTATATGATATTTATTGTGTTTGCTTAGAAGTATTTATCCACGGATACTTTATTCTCTCTAGTAAGTCTTTCCAAAAAGAGTCTGGATATTTTAGATGTGTCCATGTTGTGTTTGGTTTCATAGTGCTGTGTGAAATGACCACAGAAAGTGTAGCAGCATTGTAATTGATGCATTTGTCATACAAGGATGGTGTATATAAAAGAAACAAAAGCAAGAAAAGACCCTGAAGAGTTAATCTCGCCATCTCTGCAATATCATTTCATAGTATATTTAAAAAATTATATGAATGTCACAACACATTTGTAAAAGAGTGGCCTCATCTTTGTTGACTTTAACTTAACCAAAGAGTTGCCATAGAAATTATTTTTGAACTACTTTTTATACCGTCCAGAGCATTTTGCTGTGATATACAGGTCAGTATTTTTATGTTGTAATTGTTAGAATTGAATTTTGTTTACATGTACAACTCAGAAAATAATGAGATGAGGATTGATTTTACAAGTAACATTCATCTGTATTCCAAAGCACTAGAAAAACAGATATCTCAGAACATTAGTTCATATTCTTCCAGATGTGAACAAAGCGTATCACATTGGTGATTTTTTTTTAATATTTACCTCCAATAGATATTTTCAAGTTAAGTTCTTAGATGGCAAACACTATTTATATAGGTTTTGAGTTTTGTTAATTAAAAATAGCTGTGCACTATAAGAAAATTAACCTGGCAAGAATGTGCTTTCCTATTTTGTATTTATTTTTAAGTTTTTATTTAAATTCCAGTTAACATCCAGTGTAACATCACTACAGTTTAGTGATTCAGCACTTCCATACATCACCGGGTGCCCATCACAAGAGCCCTCCTTAACTAACCCCATCACCTATTTCACCCACACCCCCCCACCACCCACCTGCCCTCTGGTAACCAGCAGTTTGTTCTCTATAGTTAAGAGTGTTTCTTGGTTTGTCTCTAAGAATGGGTTTTTTTTTAAAGGATAAGACTTAAGTATATTAATGTAAATTTGATACACATTTGTTTAAAGAATTCAGCTTTAAAACTAGGCGTGGGAGGATAGTAGGGAAGACCATAATTTTTCATCACTTTTCCTCGTTATTAATAGTTTTTATGACTGCCTTGGTTTTACACTTTATTTTTATGTGTTTTGTTTGTTCTTTAGGGAGAAGTAATAGCACTGGATAAAATATCCAACAAAGTAGAAAAAATTAAACAGAACGCTTTATTGTTAGGACTGAATTCCATCAAGGCATTTTGCTTTGATGGAACAAAGGCTCTTAAACTCAATACAGTTAAGGATGCTGAAGGTAAGTTAAATTTTATCTTTACAGGCTTCTGTAATTGGCTTTGGATTTTGCTGTCATTGTTCTAGCCCTAAAATATCCATAAAACCTTGAAACTGGCATGGATCTAAGATATTTTGCCATAATAGATAACATTTTGCTTTTCATCTTATCCCAGAACATATATACAGTGCCTATATATAATGTATGTCAGATTTTATTTTTTTTAAGATTTTATTTATTTATCTGATAGAGACACAGTGAGAGAGGGAACACAAGCAGGGGGAGTGGGAGAGGGAGAAGCAGGCTTCCCACCAAGCAAGGAGCCTGATGCAGGGCTCCATCTTTGTCAGATTTTAATAATACAAAATCAAACCCCAAGACTTGGTCAAACTCTTTGGTCTTACTGTATTTGTCTTAATTTCATATTAAATCTCAAAAAGCTTATTAGCTCTTCAAGTTTGTGAATCTTGAGCTATTTTGTTGTCTTCATGTTTTCTTGGGAGAATGGGGCTATGGAGCTGGGAAGGGAGGAAAAACTGCCACATACCTTGTTTTGGAATAAAATGTTGCATTTATTAAGTCCCTTTATTGCTCTCTTTCTTTGTTTAGACTTGATTTCATGAAATACTCAAGAAATTTGCATATTGTAATGAACCAATTGGTGTTAGTTTCCCCAAAATGTTTATTGATTAAAGATGCTACTTTATTAAAGCTGAGGACATGGTTTTGACTCCTCACACCTTACAGACCGTCTAGTTTTCCCATATATAAGCTCTTGACTTATGTACTGACTACTATCACTACTAAACAGTGGACGGGTCAATATAATTCATTACTGTCACTTTACTGAAATTGTTGGTAGTTCACCAAGTTTACATATCACTGAATAAAGTGATCATCCTCAAAAGCATAATAGACAGATTGGGCTAAGAACAATCAAGATGTAGGGTAGCCATCTTAGAGGTTGGTCTTCAGTGCTATAGAGAGACATTCATTAATTGACTTGGGATAGTCCACTGATTTTTCACTCATCCACATCACTTTATTAGCTGATGGTCATAGGTTATCATCTTTAGCCCTTTTTTTTTTTTTTATCAAGACTATTTCATCACAGATACTCTATGATAGTTTGATTTGGGGTGTTAAACCTAGAATGTCTGGCAATAGACCCAATCTGTTTGATGGAAAATGTATCAGCAGTAATATGAACATCACCATATCTTTGGGACTCCTGGAAAGTGAGAAGTTATTTTGTGACACCTGCCTAATGTGTAATAAACCTCATGGGAATAAACAAACAAATGAAACACGTGTAAAGCTTCCTAGAAAAACGGATTATTCTGAAGAGCAAGGTCTGGACTATTATTTATCTTCTTACAGAGGTGGGAATAGGTTAGATGTAATTATCTGATTACAAGAGAACAGCATTTCATGGTCAGTTGATTGTTAACCCAGAAGAGTTAGCCAGGAGTTGGCAGGAGATTTACAATAGCGCATTGGCTAGTAGGCTATATCCAAGAGACCCAAAATACAGTGGCTTAGAAAAGATAGAAGCATTTTTTGTTTCTTTGTTTTTTGTGTTTTATTTTGGTCTCACCTAATGGAAATGGGTGTCTGATGCTGGTAGTTTAATATCTGGGTCCAAGACAGATGTTCCAGTTCTTTCAAGGGGAGGGGAAAGGGTATCAGAATCCTTGGGAATGCACATGCCACTGACCAGGTTAGTCATTTGATCAATTTAGCTGCAAGGGGACTGGAAAATGTAGTCATTAGCTGTGTTGTCATGTGCCCAGTTCAAAACATAACTTTAGAAAAAGAGGTTAATGGGTATTGAAGAACAACTAGCAGTCTGACAAAGGCTTTGTATCACTGAAAGTGATGGTGATGATCGTTAAAATTTACAAGATATTTAAAATTTTTATTTTAGAGTAGTTGATACAGTGTTACTAGTTTTAAGTGTACACCGTAACAATTCTACAGTTCTATAAATTACTCGGTGCTCACCACAATTAAGTCACCTTCTGTCACCATAAAATGTTACTGTATTATTGACTATATGCCCTACGCTGTGTTTTGTCTTTTTTTTTTTTTTAAATCTCTGTGACTTATTTATTTTATAGCTAGAAGTTTGTACCTCCTAATTTCCTTCACTTATTTTGCCCATCCCCTCACCCACCTCCCCTCTGGCAACCACCAGTTTTTTGTATTTATGAGTCTGTTTCTGTTTGTTTGTTCATTTGTTTTGACATTTGGAGTCCACATATAAGTGAAATTCTATGGTATTTGTCTTTCTCTCTCTGACTTACTTTACTTAGCCATCAAACCCTCTAGGTCCATCCATGTTGTCATGGATGGCAAGATGCCATTCATTTTTATGGCTGACTGATGTGTGTGTGTGTGTGTGTGTGTGTTTGTGTATACACACCACCTCTTTATACCATCTATCAGTAGACACTTGGGAATGCTTCAGTATATTGGCTACAGTAAAGGGGTGCCTGGCTGGTTCAGGCAGTAGAGCATGCAACTCTTGATCTCGGGGTTCTAAGTTTGACCTTCACATTGGGGATGGAGATTACTTAAAAAAAATATTGCCTACTGTAAATAATGCTGCAATAAACATAGGGGTGCATATATCTATTTGAATTGATGTTTTTATTTTCTTTGGGTGATTAGTAGTAGAATTACTGGATCATATGGTGTTTCTGTTTAATTTTTTGAGGAATCTCCGTACTGTTTTCCATAGGGGTTGCACCAATTTACATTCCCACCAAGAGTGCACAAGATTTCTCTTTTCTCCACATCCTTGCAACATTTGTTATTTCTTAATCTTGTTGATTACTAGCATTCTCACTGGTGTGAGGTGACATCTTATTGTGGTTTTGATTTGCATTTCCCTGATTTGCATTTCCCTGATGATTAGTGATGTTGAGCATCTTTTCGTGTGTCTCTTGGCTATCTGTATGTCTTCTTTGGAAGAATGTCTTCTCAGGTCCTCCACCCATTTTTAATCAGATTATTTGGGGTTTTTTTGGTGCTGAGTTGTATAAGTTCTATATGTATTTTGAATATTAACCCCTTACAGATACATCATTTGCAGAAATCTTTTTTCATTCAGTAGGGTTGCATTTTCATTTTGTTGATGGTTTCCTTCACTGTGCATAAGCTTTTTATTTTGATTTAGTTCCAGGAGTTTATTTTTGCTTCTGTTTCCCTTTACTGAAGAGACGTATCCATAAATATGTTGCTAAGGCTGATGTCAAAGAGATTACTGCCTGTGTTTTCTTTTAGGAATTTTATGGTTTCAGGTTTCATATTTAGGACTTTGATCCATTTGGGGTTTATTTTTATGTATGGTGTGAGAAAGTGGTCCAGTTTTATTCTTTGGCGTGTAACTACCCAGTTTTCCCAGCACCATTTATTGAAGAGACTATCTTTTCCCCATTGTATATACTTGCCTCCTTTTTCATAGATTAATTGAATGTAAAAGCATGGTTTTATTTCCAAGCAGTCTATCCTATTCCATTGATCTGTTTTTTCACCAGTACCATATTCTATAAGTTAAAATAGCTTTATAGTATATCTTGAAATCTGGGATTGTTCAGCTTTGTTCTTCTTTTTCAAGATTGCTTTGACTATTTGTGGTCTTTTGTAGTTTCGTACAAATTTTAGTACTATTCTAATTCTGTGAAAAGCACTGTTGTTGTTTGGTAGTGATTGCATTAAATCTTTAAATTGCTTTGGGTAGTATGGGCATTTTAACAATATTCTTCTGTCCATAAGCATGGTATATTTTTCCATTTTTCCATGTTTGTATTGTCTTCAGTTTCTTTCTTAATTTCTTAAAATTTTCAGAGTATAGTTCTTCCGCCCCTTGGTTAAATTTATTCCTAGGTATTTTTTCTTTTTGGTACATTGGTAAATGGTATTTTCTTAATTTCTCTTCAACTTCATTATTAGTGTACAGAAACACAACAGATTTCTGTACATTAATTTTACATTTTGTAACTTTACTGAATTCATTTATTTTAATAGTTTTTTTTTTTTTATGGTCTTTAGGATTTTCTATATATAGTATCATGTCATCTCTAAAGAGTAACAGTTTTATTTCCTCCTTACCAATTTGGATGCCTTTTATTTCTTGTCTGATTGCTGTGGCTAGGGCTTCCAGTACTGTGTCGAATAAAAGTGATGAGAGTGAACATCCTTATCTTATTCCTGATCTTAGAGGAAAAGCTTTCAGTTTTTCACTATTGAGTATGATATTTGGTGTGCATTGTTTCATATATGGCCTTTATTATGTTGAGGTATGTTTCCCCTCAGCCCACTTTGTTGAGAGTTTTTATCATGAATGGATATTGCAGTTTGTCACATGGTTTTTCTGTATCTATTGAGATGATAATATGGTTTTCATCCTTCTTGTTAATGTGATGTATCACACATCCTTGCATCCCTGGAATAAATTCCACTTGATCGTGGTGAATGATCCTTTTCACGTATTACTGAATTTGGTTTGTTAATGTTTTGTTGGGGATTTTTGCATCTATCAGGGATATTGGCCTGCAGTTTTCTTTTTCTGTAGTGTCTTTGTCTGGTTTTGGTAGCAGGCTAATGCTGGCCTCTTAAAATGAATTTGGAAGTTTTACTTCCTCCTTTATTTTTTGAAATAGTTTGAGAAGAATAGGTATTAACTCTTCTTTCAGTATTTGGTAGAATTCACCTTTGAAGCCATCTGGCCCTGGACTTTTGTTTTTTGGGAGTTTTTTGATTACTGATTTAATTTCATTACTAGTAATAAGTCTGTTCACATTTTCTGTTTCTTCGGATTCAGTTTTGGAAGATTGTATGTTTCTAGGAATTTGTTTCTTTTAGGTTGTCCAATTTGTTTGCATATAATTTTTTATAATCCTTTATATTTTGTGGTGTTATTTCCACTCTTTCATTTCTGATTTTATTATTTGAGTTATTTGAGTTCTCTTTTGATGAGTCTGGCTACAGGTTTATCAATTCTGTTCATCCTTTCA